GTGCTATTCCCAGCGTCTTCCTTGGCTTTGTCCCTGATGCGCCTGGCTGGCAGTTTTACCACCCCACCTCGCGCCGTGTCCTCCCCTCTCAGGACGTCACGTTCGACAAGTCGGTTCCTTTTTACCGTCTCTTCCCCTACCGCACTGCTTCTCTCCCCCCCCCCCCCCCCCGCCGCTCTTCCTTGCACCAGGTCCTCCTCCGGTAGACCCCCTCCCCCCTCAGGGTCCTGCTCCCTCAGGTGTGTCCCAGGTAGACGCTGTCGAGCCTGTTGAGGTAGCGGTTGACTCTGGTGCTGCTACTGGGGGTGGTGTTGCTGGGGGTGCTGAGCCTGAGCGTGTGGAGCCTGGGGGTGCTGAGTCTGAGCGTGTGGAGCCTGGGGGTGCTGCGCCTGGGGTTGCTGAGTCTGAGGGTGCGGAGCCTGGGGGTGCTGAGTCTGGGGGTGTTGAGCCTGGGGGTGCTGAGCCTGCGGTTGCTGAGACTGGGGGTGCTGAGTACGCTGGAGTTACTGCAGGTGCTTCGTCTCCGTGGGATCCTCTCTCTCCACCGGAGCTGCGCGAGTGGTTTGCTCGCCGCTGGAGACTCCAGCGAGGTGCTGCTGGAGCTGGAGCTGCTGGAGGTACTGCTGGTGCTGGAGCTGCTGGGGGAGCTGGAGCTGCTGGAGGTGCTGGAGCTGCTGGAGGTGCTGCTGGTGCTGGAGCTGCTGGAGCTGCTGGAGGTATTGCTGGTGCTGGAGCTGCTGGAGGTGCTGGAGCCGCTGGTCCTGGAGGTGCTCGTACTGGAGGTACTGGAGCTGATGGGGCTGGTGGTGCTGCAGGGGTTGGAGCTGGAGGTTCTGGAGCTGTTGCTACTGGAGGTGCTGCTGGAGCTGGAGCTGCTAGAGGTGCTAGAGCTGGTCATGCTGCGGGAGTTGGAGCTGGAGACCCTGGAGCTGGGGGTACTGGTGCTGTCTCTGCTGTTTCTGGAGGCGCTGCGCGGCCGCGGCCGTACTACGTTCCGCTCCTTCAGCAGGTTCTTGGCCTCCCGCTTTCCACTGGTCCTCCTCCTCCCTTACTGAGTCCACAGCCTGACCAGTCGCAGTCACAGTTACAGCCAACCTCTCCACTGCCTGGTCCTTCTCCTTACTCTGGGCCGACTAGGGGTCTTACGGAGCGTCGTGAGCCTGAGTCCCGTCCTGCGTCACCTAAGTCTCGTCCTGCGTCGCCTGTTCGCGCAGTCCGCACTGGTCGTCGTGTTCCGCGTCAGCGTCCTCCCCCTGTCCCCGGCACACACCTGATGGCACTTCGTCCTTCCACTGCTCCGCAGCGTGTCCCTCTGCCGTCTCCTCCTGCGCCCTCTCTTCCTGACGGTCCGGACCCGGAGTCTGACTCCCTTCGTGCTGCTAGTCCTACTGTCACGCGTCTCCTGGCCACTGTTGTCACTGACCCTTCGTTTGAGTCCACTGCTGCGTCTGCTCTAGTTGCTGAGCTTGTTGACTTTGCTGCCGCCTGTCGTCTAGACTACGCCGCTAGTCTTGTTGCTGAGTCTGAGTATGAGTATGTCTGTCCTCCGTCCGTCGGGGGTGAGTGTGCCCTTAGCACGGACGTCCTTGAGGACAGACATGAGGAGTTTGAGTGCTTTGCCGCTGCTTTACCTCATCTCGTGTCCATGATGCTTGCCCCTGAGGGAGATCCGGATGCACCAGACATCCCGACCCCGCGCTCTTACGCCGAGCGATAGAGGGTCCCTACTCCTCTCAGTGGCAGACAGCCATGGACGCAGATATGGCCTCCTGGAAGTCCACAGGCACCTACGTCGACGAGGTTCCCCCACCTGGGGCGAACATCGTCAGCGGCATGTGGATTTTCAGGGTGAAGCGGCCGCCGGGTTCTCCGCCTGTCTTCAAGGCGCGTTACGTTGCACGAGGCTTCAGTCAGTGAGAGGGAGTGGACTTCTTCCAGACCTTCTCCCCTACCCCAAAGATGACCAATCTTCGTGTTCTGCTGCACGTCGCCGCTTAGCGTGACTACGAGCTTCACTCTCTTGACTTCGGCACTGCTTTCCTACAGGGCAGCCTGCACGAGGAGATCTGGCTGCGCCGCCCACCTGGCTTCACTGGGTCGTTTCCTACTGGTACCCAGTGGAGCCTCCGGCGGCCACTCTACGGTCTCCGCTAGGCGCCCCGTGAGTGGCACGACACTCTGAGGACGACTCTTGCTGCTCTTGGGTTTGCTCCGTCCACTGCTGACCCGTCGCTGTTTCTACGCACCGACACCTCTCTGCCGCCGTTCTTCGTTCTCGTGTACGTCGACGACTTGGTCTTTGCTACTACTGACATTGAGGCACTCGCCCACGTGAAGTCGGAGCTGCAGAAGAGACACACGTGCACAGACCTGGGTGAACTGACTAGCTATCTTGGCTTGCGGATCACCCGGGACAGAGCACAGCGCACCATTACCTTGACTCAGTCACACATGGTGCAGCAGGTCCTTCAGCGCTTCGGCTTCACGTACTCCTCGCCACAGCACACTCCTCTGCCTACTCGCCACTCGCTCTCAGCTCCACCTTCGGACGAGTCCGTAGAGCCAAGTGGTCCGTACCCAGAGCTTGTGGGCTGCCTCATGTACCTGATGACCTGCACTCGTCCTGACCTTGCCTACCCTCTTAGCATTCTGGCACGCTATGTCGCTCCTGGGAGACACAGGAAGGAGTACATGGATGCCGCTAAGAGGGTGTTGCGCTACTTGTGCAGTACGTCGGGCACGGGGCTCGTGCTTGGAGGACGGGCTTGTCTGTCCTCACTGGTCACGCAGACGCTTCCTGGGCTGACGACTTGGCTACGCAGCGGTCGTCACAGGGTTACACCTTCAGTCTTGGCTCCGGCTCTGTTTCTTGGCGGTCTACCCGCTCGTCTTCTGTTCTCAGCTCCAGTTGTGAGGCTGAGATCTACACAGGGGCCATGGCTGCACAGGAGTTACGCTGGCTCACCTACCTGCTGACCGACCTGGGAGAGCCGCCTCGTTCTCCTCCAGTGCTGTACGTCGACAACAAGGCCATGATTGCCTTGTGTCAGGAGCACAGACTGGAGCACAGAACGAAGCACATCGCTCTGCGCTACTTCCTTGCTCGAGAGTTGCACCAGCGTGGTCAGCTTCGTCTTGCTTACGTGGCCACTCGGGCCAACACTGCTGATGTCTTCACCAAGGCACTTCAGCCTTGTGATCATCAGCGTTTCTGTACTGTTCTAGGCCTTGTGCCTACTGTGCCTCACTTGCTTACTTCTTGACTCTGCTTGTACTGTGATCTCTATACATATACCTGCATGCTTACACTTGCTAGGTTGTGATGACTGTATTGCTTGTTCTCCTTTATATAACTCTGCATGTGAACTGGCCTTGTGGCCATTTGCTTGTGCTCAGAATGCGTGGTGACGTCGTGATCCACCCTGAGCTTGCTTTGCCTCTCTTGACTGGTCTTGTGTCTTCTTGTTCTCCCCCACTTTGCCTTTGGGGGTGTGTCAAACTTATATGCTATAGTCTGTGTAGGCTGTAGTGGGGTAGATCATATGGGGTACAACACTTTAGGGTTTCCTACTTGTACTCCTCATGCTGCTCAATGCAATCATTCCTCGTTCTATCTTTCACACTCTCCTCATCCCTCGCTCACCTCCTCCTTCGTTCTTATCTCCTCTCCTCTCCTTTCTCTCTCTCGCCTCCTCCTCCTCACTCTTTGCCGTCTTCCACTGCGCCAGGTTTACCCCTTCAGGGGGTGTTGACTGCACTAGTTGCTACTGCAAGCAGGCTAAGGGGGTGTGTTGAAGTTATATTTGATATATATCCTGCTTGCTGTAGTTACTGTAATGTTTGTACCTCTTGTTGGTGGTGTACCACCTCCGGTGCATCATTCTCTACTAAATATTGTATGCTTTTCTTTTAGTGAAGTTACTTGTTTGGTCAATTATCTCGACCCTTGCTCTTGCCACCCTCGACACCCGCTTGGCCTAGGCTACTAAGCCTAAGGCCTAGTTTAACCCGGTTACCAGTTAAGTGCATATCGTGACATTTGAAAGCTGCTGCACGCGCGGTTCTTGGTGTGCGTGTAGCTGCGCGTGTGCGCGGGTGCAGCTGCGTGCGCGTGTGCAGCTGCGTGCACGTGTGCAGCTGCGTGCACGTGTGCAGCAACGTGCGCGCTGCTGTGTGCGTGCTGCAGCGCTTGCACATTTTTGCGCGGCTGCGCATACGCGGATGCGGGCGAGCGGCTGCGCGTGGCGTCGTGCAGGCGGCTGCATGCGCGGCTGCGCGCTAGTAGTGCGTGCGACTGCGCGTGCGGGAACTGGACAGGATGGGTAGCGGGACGGGACGGGCTAAGCGAGGGTCCTAGGATGGCTAACTCGATAATACCATCTCAGAATAGGAACAACGAATGATCGACTAGGAAAGGTGGGAGATGCAAATACAACCCTAAAAGTGTTATACTCCCTATTGTGCACCTCACTATAGCCTAGCATACATACACACATACATGTATATAGACATATATATAGATAGATATGTATACATATATATGTAGACATAGTTTGACAATTTCCACTCACCATTTCGTTGTCCATTGTAGAAGGTGAAACATTGTTTCACAACCAAGAAGACAAAAGCCCACAAATAGGGGCGTCCATCAGGGTGATTACAGTAACAAGATGCTGGTCATGTGGTACAAAGTGATAAGAAATTATAACACCCTGTGGTGTGGTGCCTGCTGCAACTAGTAAACTGCATTATAGATAGCAATTTCACACATCACTTTGTGAATTACAAACTGGAATTTGGCACGACATCCTTGGGTGAGAAAGGCCCTTATCTAATTTCATTTCTCTACGGCAGCACCTCTAGCCGCAAAAATCCCATGACCATAGCATGTGTGAGACATGTGTGGGACATGTGTGGGGCACGTATGGATGGAACACGTATGGGACACATGAGGGGCACGTGTGGGGCACATGTTGGGCCGGCATGGACACGCATGAAGACTAGCGGGCAGCGGGTTGAGTGAGGAGGATGTTGCGGCTCTCCCTGCCCTGGAAGAACTCGTTGAGCAGCGAGTCCAGGCCCTCCTCCGTGAAGCGAATGTACTTGCTGGCCGCCTCGCTGCTGCGCCCAAACCGACCGCCGCTCTCCAGCACCGGACTGATTGTGGGGGTGGGGGGGGGAGGGAGGGGGGGTGGGGGGAGGGGTGGGAAGTGTGGAAGGAAAGAGACAAGCGGCAAGGGTGGGCGGAGGAAGTCCAGGCCCTCCTCCGTGAAGCGAATGTACTTGCTGGCCGCCTCGCTGCTGCGCCCAAACCGACCGCCGCTCTCCAGCACCGGACTGATTGTGGGGGTGGGGGGGGGAGGGAGGGGGGTTGGGGGGAGGGGTGGGAAGTGTGGAAGGAAAGAGACAAGCGGCAAGGGTGGGCGGAGGAAGTCCAGGCCCTCCTCCGTGAAGCGAATGTACTTGCTGGCCGCCTCGCTGCTGCGCCCAAACCGACCGCCGCTCTCCAACACCAGACTGGGAAGAGGGGGAAGAGGGAGGAAAGGAGCGGGAGAGACAAGGGACATGCGTGAGATGAAACACTCCTGCATCCAACGTGACCCAACACACACATCTCCCCCTCTACCCAACTCACGTGTATCGCTGCACTAAGGCACGGTAGGCGGGCAGCAGCACTGGGAGTGATGCAGCTGCGGTGACTATAGAGTCGACTCATAGGTGACCCAACACACACATCTTCCCCTCTACCCAACTCACGTGTATCGCTGCACAAAGGCACGGTAGGCGGGCAGCAGCACCTCAGCAATCTCATGCATTGCTGCACCCAGGAGCTGTATGTGCAGACACATGTAGACCACGAAACACGCGTCACTCTCTACTCTACCCAACTCACGTGTATCGCTGCACGAATGCACGGTAGGCGGGCAGCAGCACTTCAGCGATCTGCAGCTGCACGGCGGATCGCAGCTCGGGGTCGGGGATCTTCCACATGCACTGCGAGCGATGCAGCTCCTCAAATGTTGCATTGAACACGCGGAACCTGGGAAACGGAAGTGGGGGAAGATGAGAGGGAGGAGTGTGGGGCCAGGGAAGTGGGTCTACTACAAAAATGGAAATCCAAAAACACGATTTCTGGAAATCGACAATTTCACCCTCATTGGTAAAAAACGCGATCTGAAATTGGACGCGAAATCGCGAATCGAAATTCCGTGTCACCATTCTTTTTCGGGCAGCCCAATATTTTTCTGGTGAACGGCCATGGTCCGGACGCGCGTCCAGCCAGCTTCCAGCGTCCAGACGCAATGTCTGGACGCTACCCTGTTTGAGCATCCACAGTAACATTGCTGCAAAGCAAAGGCAAAGCAGATGTTTGCCAGTGGAGCACATAATCAGCAAGTTAACGCAACACTTTCCAAGTTGAAAACAAAATCAAAGAAAAGGAACTCAACGACTGAAACCCCAGCGGCCCTTGCATCTGCTCCCTCCTCCCCCTCCATCCCCACCTCTTTTCCCTTGCACCTCCCTTCCCTTCTGGCACCTCTGTTCCCCTCTTCCACTTCACACTTCTCTACCCCCTCCACCCCCACCCTCGCACCCCTCTCGCCTCCCTCCCCCTCCTCCACACACATCTCCTCCTCCCGTCCGCCTCCCAAGCACTCCGCACCTCTCTTTGAAAGCGCTGCGGCTCACACTGCCCTCATTGCACCTTTCTTTCCCCATTCCCCACCTCTACCCCCCCCCCCCTCATCCCCCCTCTTCCCCCTCCCTCTATCCCCCCACCTCTCTTTGAGAGCTCTGCGGCTCACGATGCCCTCCCTTTCCCCTTTCCCCACCTCTCTGTCCCCCATCCCCACCTCCCCCCTCTCTCCACCTCCTCCCCCACAACGCACCTCTCTTTGAGGGCGCTGCGGCTCACGCTGCCCTCCTTGCCGTCCGCATTTAGCCCTGCTGACGTCAGCAGCCCAAAAATCTGGCGGGCGGCGAATAGAGAGAGAGGGGAAGGATGGGGAAGGGAGGGGAGTGGGGCAAGGGAGAGACGGGGGGCAAGGGAGAGAGGGTGTGGGGTAAGGGAGAGAGGGAGTGGGGCAAAGGAGAGAGGGAGTGGGGCAAGGGAGAGAAAAAGGAAGGACAGTGTGGTGAATGAGGGAGAGAACCAGAGGTGGAGTGGCAGGGTCTGAGCTTAGATTGGTGGGGGAGCTTTTGAGAATTCTTAAAGCTCAAGGCCCAAATTGCAGACCGCGAGGGGCAAGATTAGTATTATTGATGGAGGGGGTTCGGAAACTTGCTCGGTTGCAACTTGGGACTTGAGCAACCAAACTCGAAGTTCTCCCCCCTTGATAAGTGTAGCGAGGTGTTGTGCGAAAGGGTAACAGCCGTCGCTCACAACACCCCCTGTCAACTTCTGTGAGAACCTTCCCAGCAGCCCAACGGTCAACCTTACTAAAGTTGAACAATTTGGGCCTTGAGCTTTAAGAGCAGTGGTGCCAGGGAGAAATCCTGGGAGGCATTACAGCAGACCAAAAATCTAGTGGGTGGCAAAGAGAGGGGCAGGAAGGGGAAGGGAAGGGTGTGGACACTGCTTGTTGGAGAGAGAGAGCATGCAGTGCTAGTGGGAGGGGCGATTGCATGAGTGACGGGTGGTTGGCGGAGGTGACAAGCGACCGGGAAGACAAATGAGCAGATATTGTTCCAACCCCCCTTTCTCTTGCCTCACCTTGTTCCACGAAGTCCGTTGGTACGCCGCTGCATGTTGCTGCACGATGCGCCGCTGCCGGTCGATCCAGTCCTTCCCCACCACCTCCTTCAGCTCGCCCCTGCGCAAAAGGAGATGTGAAATTGAAGATTACATCTACTTCACCTCCTCATCGTGCCCGTCAATCATCCGGCCTTTTCCGGGCCAGAAATTGGGCCGGACCCACCACAAAAAGGTGGGCCGTGCCCGGGCCTAGTCTGCCCAGACCGACTCGACCCGCCCGACAGCCCAAACGCATCGGCCTGGCCCGGCCAAAATGCGGGCCGGTCCGGGCCGGACTGGGCCTGGGCCGACCGGCCTGCAGACCAACTTTAGCTCATCCCTATGGTTGAGGGCTAGCGCCAAGCTAAGCAGCATGTGTGCTGGCGCCACCGGAAGCTGCCGAGACATGCTTTTTCTTCCCTCAACCCCACCTTACTTTCTGACGGCATGCACGTTGTTCTTAAGGAAGAGCTGTGTGGGAGCGGGGTTGCTCGCGGTACAGCCTAAACTCCCCAACCCCCTCAGATCTACTCACTTTCTCACGGCGTGCACGATGTAATGCACGTTGTTCATGAGGAAGAGCTGGGTGAGCGATGCGATGCGATACAGCTTGCCTTGCATCCTAAACCCCTCTCAACCCCTTACTTTCTCACAGCATGCACAATGTAATGCACCTTGTTCATGAGGAAGAGCTGGGTGAGCGCGGGGTCGCAGTAGAGCTTGCTCCCTATACCCCCCACGCCCCCTCTCAGTCCACTCAACCCCTCTCAACCCCTCTCAACCGCTCACTTTCTCACGGCATGCACGATGTAGTGAACATTGTTCATGAGGAACAGCTGGGTGAGCGCCGGGTCGCGGTAGAGCTTGCTCTTCCTCTCCAGGTTGGCGTGCAGAGCTGCAAAGATGCGGATTGTGGCCTCGCCAAAGAGGTTCTCTCGGCCAAACAGCTCCTGCATGGTCGCCTGGTAGCTGATTGGGGAGCAAATGGGAAAGGGGAGAGGATGGGGCGAGGAAGGGGAGAGAACGGAGGTTGTGCTCAACACGCCTTATTTGCGTCATGGTGCTTCCAAAAATCAGCCATGCACTTGTAGAGCTATTCAAGGCAGTTGAAGACACATAGGTAGTGAGCCCCTCCGTGGCCCTTCTTTGAGGCCCAGTTCTTAAGATATCCAGCTACGCAAGCATAGAGGTATTTGAAGCAGCTGAAACGTAGCTTGTGCGTGGTGGTGCGGCGCGCATAAACATTTGGTAAGCGTTAAAATGAAAAGACACAAAAAAAAACGTTAAAACTGGCGCGCAACCGTGCGTACCCTTGCTTGGGTCACCTCATTTTTTTGTGAGCGTTAAAACGAAAAAACGAAAAAAAAAAAAAAAAAAAAAAAAAAAAAAAAAAAAAAAAAAAAAAACGCGCACTCATAAAGGTATTTGAGGTAGTTGACGACGTAGCTGGTGAGGCCGTGCGTGGCGCCATCGGGCAGCACCTTGTCGCTGTCCTCACTCTCCACTGCGAGCTCAAAGTTGTTGAACGCCTCCTTGGCCGCCGCCGCCAGGTGCTGCAGCAGCTGCTGCGCACTGCCCCGTATGGCGTCACAGGCTGAACCCGCAAACACCACCTCCACCTAAAGCCCGAATTGGGGTTGGGTTAATGAAGAAGGAAGAGGCAACACATGGGAAGACGATAAGGGTGCTAGTGATACTGCCAGTCGCTGCAGCGGCTGCTGCATGCCAGCTGCTGGGTGCTGACTCAGATGCCTAACAGCATGCCTAGCCTAGCCACGCCCCACTCTCCCCCCATCCCACGGTAATCCGGGCCTAACCCGTGGCATCAAACCCTCTCACCTGAGGCATGAGGTCGCGCATGGTCTCGTACATGTCCATGAGCACAGACACCTTCTCGGGGGACTAGTGACCCGTCCCTCATGCATAGCCAGAACTCCTGGTAACCCAGCCCTCACCTGCAGCACAATTCCCCTACAATCACTCACCTGTGGCATCAGATCGCGCATGGTCTCGTACATGTCCATGAGCACAGACACCTTCTCGGGGGACTTCTTGCTGCGCGCCACGGCCTCCCCGAAGCCAAACAGCATGCCCAGCGTGAGCCCCGCCAGGTCTGCAAATGCCTTCCCTGTGTGCGGCTCCAACCCTGCCAGTACCGTTTCACAGAGCTCCCTTTCTGCCATGAACACCACGTGCACCTGGGCGGGTGGGGAGGAGGGTGCGGGTGATAGGGGTTTAGTGCTGATGGGAAGCCAATGTGCAGAGCTGGGGATGTGGGGGTGACAGGGCTCCAACCCTGCAAGGACTGTTTCACAGAGCTCCCTCTCCGCCATGAACACCACGTGCACCTAAGGAAAGGAGATCCAATGGGGAAAAGGGTGCGGTTGAGAGAGTGATGGGAAGTGGAAGTGACGGGGTTCCAGCCCCGCAAAAACAGTTATGCACAGCTCCCTCTCCACCATGAACACCACGTGCACCTTGGGGGAAATGAGGTCTGGTGGGGGGACGGGGAGGTGAGAGGTCCATTGGTGATTGGAAGCTCGCTTGTGCAGCTCCAGCCCACCACCCTGGTCTGCCTGCGCCACCCTGGTCTGCCTGTGCCACCCTGGTCACCCTGGTCTGCCTGGGCCACCCTGGTCACCCTGGTCTGCCTGCGCCACCCCACAATGCGCTTCTCCAGCTCCCCCCAGGTCATGGCATCCATCTGCCCTTTTATCCACTATGTATTTGAGTCTAATATACCGAGTCCACTCGACAATCTGCTCCGACTTACCGCCAGCCGGGTCTGCCTGCGCCACCCCTCAATGCGCTTCTCCAGCTCCCCCCACGTCATGGCGTCCATCTGCTCTTCTATCCACTCCACGTGTATTGGACTCGAATATACTGAGTCAACTCATCCTTCTGCTCTGTCTGACTCACCGCCAAGCCAGCTGCTCTGACGTACCGCCAGCCGGGTCTGCCGTCGCCACCCCTCGATACGCTTCTCCAGCTCCCCCCAGGACATGCCGTCCATCTGCTCGCGAGTGAGCTTCTCCACGGCAATGCGCTTCAGCCCCGCCTCCACCATCGTTCCTCGCACCTCGCTGTGTGAGCGCGAGTTGAGTGTGAGTGAATGGAAAAGTATAAGGGAGAGAGTGTGAGGAAGAGTGAGACTTTCTTCGCCACGGCAATGCGCTTCAGCCCCGCCTCCACCACCGTGCCTCGCACCTCGCTGATTAGGTGAAGGTGAGTTGTGTGTGAATGGGAAAGTATGAGGGAGAGAGAGGAGAGTGTGAGGAAGAGTGAGCTTCTCTTCTCCACGGCAATGCGCTTCAACCCCGCCTCCACCATTGTGCCGTGCACCTCACTACTTTGAAGAGAGAAGAGAATGTGAGATGAGAGGGAGTGCAATATAGGGCAACCAAATGAGCCCTTCACTTCACATCCCAAGAACGTAAGTGAAAAAAACGTCTCACCATGTACGTACATCTGGAGGCACTTCTAGGCTCTACATATCAGACAGGCATAACGCATAATCATGTGGCGTCGGCCTAACACAGCTCTTCCCACGAGTAGGTCTTAAGGCCGTTGTCAAGCCCCCCTCCTCAGTCAGCTCTCGTATGCGCCCCAGCAATCAAATAGGCACCTCAGTCCTCCTCTCCTCCACTCTCAATGCTCCTCAAATGAGAAAGTCCTTACGTGTAGATCTTGAGGCAGTTATCGGCCCGACCAATCCGGATGAGCGCCTCTGCCAGCTGGCGGATGCGCTCGCCCGCCTTGCCATCCGCCAGCAGCACCGGCAGCTGCCAGTGCGGCCGGTGGCGATGCGCGGCCAGTGTGATACAAAGACCCCTGGTGTGACACATCATACACTGATGTGTGCTACACTGATGAGCGCCTCTCCCAGCCATCGGATGCGCCCAGACAGAAAAGTAATCAACATTTCAAACCTCCACTCCACTCACGTGTATATTTTAAGGCAGTTATCAGCCCTGCCAATCCGGATGAGCGCCTCTGCCAGCTGGCGGATGCGTTCGCCCGCCTTGCCATCAGCCAGCAGCACCGGCAGCCCACCACCCTCCTTCTCGCCCTCCCCGCCCGCCTCCTCCTCGCCCTGCTTGCTCGCATCTAGCAGCTTCGCCGGGTCTGCATCCTTGCTGGAAGAGGGGACGGGGAAGTGGGGGAAGGGGGGAGGGGGGGAAGTGGCGAAGGGGGAGGGGGGTAAAAGGGGAAGGGGCGGGAATGGGAGAGATGGGAGGAAGGGGGCAGCTGGATCAGTTGGGGTGAGTGAGCTGCCAGCTGGCCTGGCGGATGCGCTTGCCCGCCGTGCCATCCGCCAGCAGCACCGGCAGGGGAGAGGGCAGGGGAGAGGGCAGGGGAGAGGGCATGGGAGAGGGGGGATCGGGTCGGACAGGGCGAGTGAGGGCTGATCACAAGAGGCACGGATTTGTGGCCCCCCCTCGCATTTTTCCCCCTTCCTCCCCTCCCCCACCGTCCCCCCTTTCCACCTCCCCCTCGCACCGCTTGGTCGCATCCAGCAGCTTGGCTGGGTCCACCACAGCATCCTTGCATAGAGGAAGTAGGGAAGGGAGGGAAGAGGAGAGGAGAGGAGGCGAGGTGGATGGAGGAGGAGGGGATGAGAGAAGGATGGAGACAGGCAAAGAGCATGGAAACAGAAAACCGCCCCATTTTTCCCCATTCTTCCCCCTCCTCCCCTTTCTTCCTACACAAGAAATTAGGTTTGTCCCCCCACTGTTTCTTCCATGTCTTTGCCTCTTTTCTTTCCCCTTCCATCCCTCCTCTCCTCCCTCCCCCTCTCAACCCCTCTGCTCACGCACGTGAACTGCAACAGCTGCTCTCTCTTCTATTCTTTTTCCCCTCTCCCCTCTCTCCCTCCCCTCCCCCACCTCTCACTCACGTGAACTGCAGCAGCTGCTGCCGGAGAGCATCGTCCAGGCGGTGGTGGCCCTCCCTCAGCAGCGCCTTGGAGTGAGCCAGAGCCGCCTCCGCGCTCCCTCCCCCTAGGCCACCCACTTCTCCCTCTGCTCACTCACGTGAACTGCAACAATTGCTGCCGAAGGGCATCCTCTAGGCGGTGGTGGCCCTCCCGCAGCAGCGCCTTGGAGTGAGCCAGAGCCGCCTCCGCGCTCCCTCCCCCTAGGCCACCCACTTCTCCCCTCTGCTCACTCACGTGAACTGCAACAATTGCTGCCGAAGGGCATCCTCTAGGCGGTGGTGGCCCTCCCGCAGCAGCGCCTTGGAGTGAGCCAGAGCCGCCTCCGTTCCGCCCTCCCTCCCCCTAGCCCCCCCCCCCCCTCCCTACCCTCCCCTCCCCTCACGTGAATTGCAGGAGGTGCTGCCGGAGGGCATCGTCCAGTCGGTGATGGCCCTCCCTCAGCAGCGCCTTGGAGTGAGCCAGAGCCGCCTCCGCGCTCTTGAACGACCGGTTTGCCTCAAAGTACCCCACGCCCTCGTGCAAGCGGGCTATCGCTGCCAGGTACGGGTCCAAGGCGTTCTTGGGACCCTCTTTGATTCGCTCCTCCACCTGCCAACGTGAAAGTGAGAGGAAACAAGGGAGAAGGGCATATGGAGAGACCAATTCCACTCAGTTCAGAGACCAATTGAACAGTGCGCCTCAACTCAAAGCACGCCACGCCCTCGTGCAAGCGGGCTATGGCTGCCAGGTAGGGGTCCAGGGCGTTCTTGGGACCCTCTTTAATTCGCTCCTCCACCTGCCAGCGGAGAGTGAGGAAGGGAGAAGGGGAGTAGGGCATATGGAAACCAATTGCATAGTACGCCTCTCGAAGTACCCCACGCCCTCGTGCAGCCGCGCTATGGCTGCCAGGTAGGGGTCCAGGGCGTTCTTGGGACCCTCTTTGATTCGCTCCTCCACCTGCCAGCGGGAAGTGAGGGCAAAAGGGGAAGAAGGGCATACGGAGGAGATCAATTGCACAGAGTGCACCTCAAAGCACCCCACGCCCCCGTGCAACCGCGCTATGGCTGCCAAGTATAGTTCTAACTTCTAAGTCGTCCCTAAGACCCTCCTGGATGCTCTCCTCCACCTGCCAGGGAAGAGCGAGGGGAAAAGGAGGAGAAGGGCACATAGTGCAAGGGTGCATACGGAGACCAATTGCTCTCAGTGCGCGTCAAAGCACCCCACGCCCTCGTGCAACCGCGCTATGGCTGGTAAACCTGCATGGCCGCTAGGTACGGCTCCAACACATTCTCTCTTGAGACCCTCCTTGATGTGAGGAGGGGAGAAGGGGGCATGTTGCCAAGAGGTGGTAAGGCTACACATGGTGGCTAACCGCACACACACAGAGTGTGCCCCTTGAGTCGACTCCAAAGTCACCGGTTGTTTGAAGGGAGAGCTGAACAAGGGGACTGTCGCTTAGAGGGGGTAACGCTACACATGGTGGTTAGATGCACACAAAGTGTGCTACACATGGTGGTTAGATGCACACAAAGTGTGCTACACATGGTGGTTAGATGCACACAAAGTGTGCTACACATGGTGGTTAGATGCACACAAAGTGTGCTACACATGGTGGTTAGATGCACACAAAGTGTGCTACACATGGTGGTTAGATGCACACAAAGTGTGCTACACATGGTGGTTAGATGCACACAAAGTGTGCTACACATGGTGGTTGAATGCACACAAAGTGTGCCTCGCTCTGAGTGTGCTATCCCTCATGCAGGCAAGCAGCAGTTGCAAGGTAGAGTACCCCTCACATGTGGTAATGACACACACTCCCAACTCTTCCATCTACCATGTATCATGTATCATGTATGTAGTCACTGGCTAGCTGATTCAACACATATCATGACATTCCTTATGAGGCGCCTCAAAAGTTTGAGGCGCCTCAAGAGTTGTGATAGCCTGCTAGCTGATTCGACACATATCACAACATTCCAACCACCTTTTCACTCCATCCCCCCTCCGCATCCCTCATGCTACCGTACCGTGTCGTGTAGTAGCCTGATAGGCTAGTGAATTTAAACGCCAGATTGAGTGTACGCTTGTGTTTGTATGTCAATCCAACAGAATTGTTGGCCTTTCTTGTGGTTGCTCCAACCAAACCAACCCAATGGCCATCAATGGCTGTGGTTCATCCCTTTACCCATGGCCAACAGCATTTGCGAAGGTTGTTGAATATGTCCAACAAACCTTCGTGACCATAGTCTTTCACCCCCCACCTTGTCTTGTCCTCCTGGAATCCCCCTATCCATCCTTCCTTCCAAGTCACATTTCGATTCAAACCCGCCTTGCCACGTCAGCTCACCTGCCTCGCCACGTCATACTTCTCCAGCACCACCTCAGCAGCCTTGAGCGCCTTGTCCACGTTGACATGCGCCTTGCGGATGGCATAGGTGCGCTCCTGCCAGGTCAGGCCAGGCCGAGGTGAGAGAGGGAAAGGGAGAAAGGTCAGCCTACGCATATTCATGTGAGGGTGAGCCTTATGGATGGCGTACGTGCGCTCCTGCCAGGCCGCGGTGGGAGTGGGGCAGGGAGAGCGAAAGGCTGGTCAAGGCATACTCATATGATCGTGTGCCTTGCGGATCGTGTATGTGCGCTCCTGCCAGGTCAGACCACGGTCACCACGGTGGGAGTGCAGGAGGGAGAGGGCGAGGGAAAGGGAAAGGAAGAGAGGCCAGGGCAGAGCATATTATTGAGCTGCGAAGAGGGAGTGGGAGAGGGAGAGGGAGTGGGGGAGGGAGAGGGAGTGGGGAGGGAGAGGGAGTGGGGGAGGGAGAGGGAGTGGGGGAGGGAGAGGGAGTGGGGGAGGGAGAGGGAGTGGGGGAGGGAGAGGGAGTGGGGGAGGGAGGGGAGGAGGGAGTGGGGGAGGGAGAGGGAGTGGGAGAGGGAGAGGGAGTGGGGGAGGGAGAGGGAGTGGGAGAGGGAGAGGGAGTGGGGGAGGGAGAGGGAGTGGGGGAGGGAGAGGGAGTGGGGGAGGGAGAGGGAGGGGGGAAGGGAGAGGGAGGGGGAAGGGGGAAAAGTCACTCAGGGGATATTCATGTGAGTGTGTGCCTTGGAGACGGCGCAGGCGCTCCTGTCGGAAGGAATTTCATAGGGAAAAGGCATAAAGAACGCCTGCGCTGCGCCACACCTACATAAAGAATCGGACATTCCGGCATAGTGTGTGGTGCTGGCAGGTCAGACCGACATGAGCATGCGGACGGGACGAGAGTGGGGAAGGGGGGGAGGGGAGGGGGGGGGGAGGGGGGGGGGGGGGGTGTGGAAAAGGAGGGAGAGAGATGAGGGAGACGATATGGGGAGGGAATCTTGAGGAAATCAAGGAGGAGGGGAGCGGCGCAGTAAGCCGCACGATACGCAGCTTCATTCCCGTGTCGCGCCATATGGGGAGGGACGGGCGTGTCTCGGACCGCGTTCTCGACCAATCGGACGCGAGAATCGGCCAGGCCGGAGAGGCTTAAGCGAGGTCTGCTCGCTCGCGTCGCCGCTTTCATCTCGCTCGTCGCCGTGCGTCGCCTCGCTTACGTTTGTCGCAATGGGTCAGTGCGTCGCACATGTCGCACGCCTCACCTGGGTCGGTCGCATAGCCGTGTCTAAGGCCGAAAGCCGCTGGTCGAACGACCCTAGGATGTCTGCCAGTCGATCATTGTTGCTCTGCGATTGCGCCAATGCGTCGCGTAACGCCTGCGCGTGCGACGCTAAGTCGCACGCCACCTCCGCGACCATGGTGACTACGTCTCAAAATGTCGACGTCACTCTTCCGTCGTTTTCGCAAATTTTCCTATTATTCAACTCGTGAACAGACTTCCGCTCTGTTGTATCCCCTATTCAAAAAGCTGCTAGATGAATCTATCTAGACTCACACTCCCATTCCTGTTTTTTCGCTCTCTGTTTTGACATGACTGTCAAGGAACTGGGAAAAAATAGGGTTCTGACACAGGTGAGGCGCATGAGTGCGAACCAGGGCTGTTCTGGCCTCGGGTTTTGGTCTGGTTGTGCAACCCACAGGTATGTACTCCTGCCTTGTTCCGCAGGGCCTTGGTCCGAACGGGCTCAAACGGACGAGAAGGTTTCGCTCGGTATGGTCCCAAACTTGGGGTCCAGGTCCGACGGGAGGAACTTTTCCCAAATTATACGGGCGGTCATATACAGTAGACGATTATTATAAAATGTCAAGGTTCTATCACGGGAAAATATGTCAATGGTAACTTACATGGGGCATTATAACGCGTACGGTAACGATTTCAACGCGTTTGGTAACTCGCTTAATGCGTTTGGTAACTCGCTTAACACGTTTGGTAACTCGCTTAACGCGTATGGTAACTATACACTAGCAGCCCATCACGCGAATGGTAACTAGAAGAAACCCTCGCCCAAAATGACCCTGATTCTGGTTTTTCCCGCTCGCGTCAGACTAAATTGACGAGTCTTGAAGCAGAAACCTCTGACACACTCTCCAAAATTCTGACACAGTTTTCCGAAATTCTGACACACTTTCCGAAATCCTGACACACTTTCCGATTTTCAAGTTATTTGAAAAAACGTAAGTGTTGTTAAAAGAACTGTTCATACATAACTGATATTCTGGCGCTCTTTCCGCAAACTGTTTGTACTTCATTCTATCGTGCAGCCGGGGCAAACAAATCTATACCCCTTTCAGATGGCAAATGAATTTGAGAGGGGCCCCTAAACTCCTTGTGACAAGGCGTTTATGTTTTTTTTTTGTTTTTTTTTATGAAACATGTAATTCTAAAGAGATGTATTTTTCCCACATGCAAAAATTCTCCAACGTTGCAGTAATTACAAAAAGTAAAAGCCCCGAGGTCCTTTCGGGGAATGTTTTTTTTATCATTTTGCAAGTTCGCAATCATGCTATCAAAAACATTATTTTAACCATTTTAGTACGAGCTACATATATATTTCAAACGGCTCTGAAACTTTTCGGTCCGTGGTAATAGAGCAAACGGGGTCCTTCAAAGTTGCGGCGGGACTTGTTCAAAAACGATAAAACTGTACGTAAAAGCTTTCAAACTCGATAAATTCCTTTTTGTCACGATCATTTCGGCGGGAGTTTCATGTAGTTACCATTCGCGTGATGGGCTGCTAGTGTATAGTTACCATACGCGTTAAGCGAGTTACCAAACGTGTTAAGCGAGTTACCAAACGCGTTAAGCGAGTTACAAAACGCGTTGAAATCGTTACCGTACGCGTTATAGTGTCCCATGTAAGTTACCATTGACATATTTTCCCTTCTATCACGGATAGTCGTATGTTCAGTGAAATCTATCACGGATGGTCAACGGTATCACGAATCGTCACGCGGTCATAGGAAATTCTATCACGGATAGACGCTTTCTGTAATGAGGGTTTGAGAATTAATAATTGTAAGGATTTCGCACCCCACTCGGAAAACCTCCGTACATATTTGTGTGTAGTTTTCAAAGTGTATAGATTTGTCATTTAGTGGTCGCAAATATTTGCGATGTTCGTGTTAGAAAAAGGATCCTTGGATAGGATATGTTACGAATAGTGATTATTGAAACACTACTGTGCACTCCTCACCGCAGCAAACGAAGCACGCACTACCGAGAGTGAAGGTGAAAAGACACAAGTGACGCGAAGGGTCGCACGGTTACGAAAGCATCTGGACCGTCGGGCAGACAGCATCAGGCAGCAGCAGTGGCGAGGATTCTGCCCAGACAATTTCGTAACTGTCTGGAGTCGCACGGTTGGATTTCGATGTAATAAGGGAATGTACCCCTTAGAGTACATGGCTAGTTAGGTAGATTCATATTCCCTTGTACTCTTATTTATATTCCTTGTACTGCATGTTTTTATCACCTCAAGCATTTACATTCACTCTGCTATTGAGGTCAAAGGGCCCACCACCACTAGACTAAGAGTGTGCGAACCTTCCTGAGGTGATCCTGAGGTCGATCAACTTCTGATCGCAACATGGTATGAGAGCGACTCAGGAATCCTTCGCACCGCCACCACCGAAATCTTCGGCGAACGGAAAGTGGCGTCCGGCACACGCTCACGTGTGAGAATGACCAGAGGATCCAGTGGTCAGACGAATCTGACGGCTGAAGCGCAGACCAACCCGGCTGCGACAAGCGAGGAAACGACGACAATTCCTTCCGCCATTCTCACACAACTGCTTCAGCGACTCACCAGCTTGGAGCAAGGACTCCAAACATTGCGGAATGGCGACGCGGGAACATCCTCCCAACCCTCTCAACCGGCCTCGAACGGCCACAATACCGCCCCGCATACCTTCTCCCTTGACACCAATGGCTCAACTCCCAAAACTCCCCGTCCCAGCGAAGAAGCAATTCTCTCTGCGCAATCAAGGTTTTTGAGTATATAAAAAATAAAGACAAGTGTGAGCTTCGAGCTGGAATTGCTGCTGCAAAACGCGCAGATCTTCCATTATTTCGACGGGAGCTACTCGGGACCCGCTGAAGACACCGACGACGCCAAGGCGAGGTACTACAACGAGTCCTTGATAGCGTACGGGGTTCTTCTGCGAAATATGTCGCCGACGGAGCAATTGAGCATTCGCTCATACAAAACCTCGCCTGCTCCAGCCACCAACTGCTCCCGTTCGCAATGTCATGGGTAACATGACGATGACGAGCGGATCTCGTCGTCCCCGTGCGCGCTCACCTTCACCGGAGGAAGCACTTCACCCAATCGGAGCGTTTTCGAACAACAACCCGTTCAGCACGCGCCACGATTTCACTGACGACGACAACCAGGACTGGAACCTGCCAGTCCCGCTGCTTGAAAGCCCCCCGCACGTACCTGACGCACGGACGGCACCGATCAATCGGATCACGCGCGAACAGTTTCTCAAGGTCGACACACCGCACATCGTTACTCCGCGACTGGCGCTGCTTGCGCGTAACGACAACAGGCACTACAACACGTGGTACCTGGATAGCTGCTGTGGGCAGCACATGGTGGGCTCCGAGCGTTACATATCCAACGCCGTTGCCAACCCCGCCGTCACCTATGTCACCGTGGCGAACAACACGCGCCTGCGCGCAAGCGCGCAAGGCATCGTTGTGCTCAAGGCACATGGGAGCAGAACGCACATCACACTCAATGACGTGTTGATCGTGCAGAACCTGCGCTTCAATCTCCTCTCGGCGGCGCAACTCATGGATTGCGGAGTTGTCCTCAGTACCGACCCCGAGACGCGCGACATCCTTCTCCACTTCACGATGCCAAACAAAATGCGTAAGCAGATCGGACAAGCACACGCCGAGAACGGGGTGTACGTTCTCGACTTCGATATCCCCAACTGCAGCGGTGACTCGCAGGAACTCATCGACCTCGTTCCTCTGCGTTTCGAACACATGCACCACCGTGACTGGAAGCATCCTGATGGGCGCCCATGGGTGCCGCATCACCCACACCCGCGCGAAACGGCGCTGCATGACCCCGACCCCGACGGCATCTGCAGAGATTGCCACACGCCTACAGCTTCGACGAGCGCGATCGCCGTCCGTGGCCTTGCCGCCATCGCCGAAGCAGAGCGGGAAGCGCCGCCTGAAGAAGGGCTGTCTCACCTGGAACGCGAGACAGCCACACGCATCGTCTTCGGAACGGAGGAAGCTCCCCTCCCAGGACCTGCATCACAACACCTTCGCGGAATGCTGCGCGGCGTTGGCGTTGGCACCTTCGATGCGGAAGGAAACACGCGACCCTACACGCAGGAGAAATTCCTGGAGATCTATTCTCATCAGCGCGACTCTACGAAGAAACTCACCGTCGCACAAGAAGAAGAACTTGCGCGACGCGAAGTAGAAGAACTTCGCCAACGGAGTCTTGCGGAGTCACGCGGAACATTCGCCTGGAGCGGATGGGGCGACGAAGAGAGAGCCTCCAATGAAGGGGGGTGGGGAGCAGTCGCTGGCGGATGGGGCACGAGCGACACTGGTGGCGATACCGGCGGATGGGGCGCCGCAACCGGCGGTGCTACTGGCGGATGGGGCGCAGTCACTGGTGGCGATACCGGCGGATGGGGAGCCGCATCTGGCGGCGAGACGAGCGGCTGGGGAGCCTTCCGCGAGGACCAAAGGGGGGAAGAAGAAGAACTTGAGGAGGCCATTAAGGCCGAACCTCCTATTGTCCCTCTTGGTCGA